GAAAAGTCCAAAATATAGCCATCCTTTTCTTCCTACAGGGGCACTGTCTCCAATTGGGGAAATTGCCCAAGAGAAAAACTTCACTGCTATGCCACTGCACACTGTTCATCTGGTAGTGAGGCAGTGTGGTTTGCTCCTAATTGCAATTGCAACATTAGACTTCTCCATAAATAAACAAGGAAAGCAAAAAAAAAAATAAATCAAAACAAAAACTAAAAAAAACCATGACACTGAAAAAACAACTAAGGGGGGAAACTGAGGAAACCTGAGGGAAAACCGAAAAAAAAGGCAAATATTGTATTGAGTTTGGCCTTGTTAGTGTTTTTTTTTTCTTATTGTTCCAAACAAGAACATTTAGAGCTTGGAGAAACAAAAGAATTTAGTTTTCATAGTAACACCAGCGGTCACGCTTTGCATAAGTGTTCGTAAAGTTTTAAAAGGACCAATGATGGCACATTGGTTTTTCCCATTTTCTACTCTTGTAATTTGACGCATCAAAATGAACCAAGTTATAGTAGAAATGAAAATGCTTCTCAGTCAGGAATAGTTGAAAGCAAGTGATTTTTCCTTATTTCAACTGTTGTTTCGTCCTGTAAAAGTATGATAGATTTCCATTTTGAAATACATGTACAACTTCCCCTTCAAAACGAATTGCATGTGCAGCTTCCAAAGGGCGAATGCGGTCTCACTGGCTCAGTCACAGTAAAGTGAGCTTTTTTTTAACCCAAAGTCCCACAAAGGACTCACTTTAGTTGCGTACATTGTACATTTTTATAGATTGAAATCCTCTGTATGAGGGATCAGCTCTCTGTAAGCTAATTGACGTCCTCACATGAAAAATAGGCAAGTTCAGTTTATACTGACTGCTGTTTGAAATAATGAACATGGTTTACGCAGTATGTGTGGGTTGTATTGGAGTTGTCATGGAAGATATTTACATGAACAAGGGCTATGACACATACCCTAAAAATTTGCAACATTGTCAAATGTCTGAGAAAGCTTGCAAAATGTTATGGTGTATAAACGCTTCATCTGGTTGATTCAAAG